TGAGGAGCTGGAGGAAGTGTCTGGAGAGAGGGAAGTCTGGGCATCTTTGCTTAGACTGCTGCCCCCACGACCCGGTTCCGGATAAGGGGAGGAAAATGGATGGATGGATGGATGTTTAAATTTCCCACTGCTCAAGGTGATGTCTTCAGATATGTTTTACTATTTGACCAACCGTCCAAAAACCAGATGTTGACTTTACTACAGTGTGCAACTGAAAACAGTGGCAGAGCTGTAAGAACTGGAATCTGGCTTTTTTGCTCACAAACAGACATAAACAATGAATCGGTTATCAAAGTGGCTGCAGATTATTTTTCTTTTGATCGACCAATCAATTCACTGACTTGTTGTTCGCTGCTGTAAACACAAAACATTTATTGCACAATGTCAAAAGCTTCAGAGCGGATGTTGTGCGGCCTGACCCAGGTTGCAACCGAGACATGACACAGTGTGCAGGGGCCTCAAGCCACACTCCAGAGCTATGTGCATGTAAATCCATTATATTTGTCCTTGTCCAGGGGAAACATTCAATTTTAATCTGACTAGATGTAAATACTTCATTGTGCTGCTTCAGAGGAAATGCACAGTGTGTAGCATCACACTAAGACTTGTGGCACATGGCTGACAGTAACAGCAACACCTCTGACAACACAGGAAATCGCAGGAAAATTCCCCAGAAGTCACAGATCATATCTGATGACTTTTACATAAGCTCCAGCCAGACTTAGAAAATCCATCAGATTTTTAATTCTCAGAGGCAGAAACAGCTCGTTGGCTAGAAGAGAAGTAGCATCAGCAGAAATGCTTTTAACCTGCTACAAAGGCGTTTTACTTCTCTCATAAAGGTCACATTGCTTGGTAAAAGACTTTGGAATGAATTTTATTTCATCAGGTTCTTGTACAACTGCTTTGTTGAGGCAAAATTTAATAGCTGCAAACTCTGGCTTCATTTGTTAAGTAAGAAAGGGGCTGGTCAATGGCACAGAGACTGGCTGCTCTGTGGACCTGGGGCCATATGGTGTGGAAGTCCCTGTAGATTAATAAAGTGTAACTGAAAATCACACCAAAGGATCTGGATCATTTATGCAGAGCTTAAAAGGTAATATATTTTCTTTATTCATCTTTGTAGTCACTAAACGAAAGCACAGATTAAAATGAGACAAACAGTGCGAACCTGCATGCTAAGGTTTTAATGTAATACTTGACTCAAGTTTTTTAATAAGTGTTGAGCTTTCACAATAAAAGCAGGAAGTTGCAAAAGCTTTGAAAGGGTTTTTAACCTCTAGAGTCCTGAGCTTTGGAAACCCAAGCTGTGCGGTCCTCATATGAGGACGCAGGGACTCTAGAGGTTATGTACATTTTATTCATCTATTTGTACCATTTAATATTTGCTCATTTTCTTTTCATGCATATTTACAGTTTTCATTAATCAACATGCATGTTTGTAAACTATTTGGCTATATGTTTTCTAATTTTTTACACTCATACAGTATATTATTCAATGCATATGCAAGTTATTAAACTGTATGTAGATTTATGACTCCATCTGTCAGCTGCATTAATCAACATGAAAGTTTTATTAAGCCACATATACCTTTGCATTCATCCACACGTTTTATTAATTCCTGTACGTTCTATTAATCTGGACACAATTTAGTCATCGGTGTGTTTATGAATGCATACTTCATTAATTTGTGAGCTTTATAATCCAGACTCACATGTAATAAACCATACATGTTTTTTTAACTAGTGTTTGCATTGTCTGAATCCCTGCATATATTTTATTACTCGGAGCATCTTCTTTATGATTTGTGCATTAATGTTTCTGTGTGTATTTCATTAACATCTCTATGTTTTATCAGGTGCCTGTTTATTATACACTTTATTAACCTATGGGCATTTGTTTTATTAATCTGTGCAGACACAGTTCCACACCAGTAACCTTCTCCACCATGCGACCCCCAGCAGGCTCCACAGAAACCACGCAGTTTAATTTGGACAGTGACTCTGTTTAACACTGTTACTGATGTGCTTTCTCAGTGCAGGATGGGACAAAACCTCTGGCAGAATTTAATTTCCAATGGCTAACAGTTTGTTCTTTAAAAGCACCAAGGACAGTCACATTCTCTGGCTGCTGGAACCGCTGGCAAACTGTAGTAAACTGGAGTAAATGCTGCTCGGAGTCCTTTGGCCCTGATGGCTGCTGCTGTTATCAGCAGGCAGAGTGGCTGCTTCTCTAAATCTAACTGTGGAGAGTTAACGTGATGCTTCATGGAAGGTACTGCCCCACACACTGATATGAAGATGTAGTTCATATCAGAGTCCATGATCATTTTACCACTAAATCCTCAAATAAATGGCACGTCCTTTTTGACACAGCAGTGAAATTACAGTTAGAAGAACACAACTGGTGTTTTCTATAGTTTACTGTGAACAAAGCTCATACCAACATGTCTCTGACCTCCCTCCTCTCTGCTCTCATTTCCATACCCATTGGGTAAAGTGGGTTTGAAAAACAAATCACAAAAATAGTTTTTAATTCAAAAATGTCAGTAAGTTCCTGAAACGTGTGGACGCTGTAGGTTGTATTAAAGTTACTCAAACTGGAGGAAATGGTTGTGTGTCGATGTCTCGACTCTGCTACCAATAAGGTAAAGATTGTCACCAGACTTCTCTTTTAATCACACAGAGGTACAGCACTTTTTGGTTTTGTGTTTGTGCTGCTAGCATGCTAATTTTTCTTTTGCACTGTGCCAATTCACATAGATTTTCAGCATGCTATAGTTTTATAGCACATGTGTTAGCCCCTGAGTAATGTTTTAGCATGCTAACAAGGTCATTAGCATGCAAATTACTTTCAGTAAAATATCAGCTTAGTAACATCTGTTAGCACACTAGCACGATGAGCTTTGCACAATAATATCTTAGTGTGCTACCAGAAATTAGCATAACAGGCTAACAGGGCTATACTGTGCTTTAGTTCAGAGCTGGGCATCTGTGAAAAGTGCTGTTTAAAAAGTTTAAAACATCACTGCTCCAAACTGATTTTCATGGATTTTGAAAATGGAATAAAAAAGTTGTAACGGACAAGACAGTTTATAATGAGTCAAGCACATCAAGCTGGACAATGTAGAGCACTGAGGAATTAAACAAAGAGGTGATAAAGAGACTCTGCGTCTGCACTCGAACCTGGAAGAGTTTGGAGAGAAGCTGTCTGGAATATGGCACAAAACAGGAAGCTAACACAGCTTCACGTTCTCTACAAACACTTCTCTAACTCAGATGGCAGAAGGGAAAAGCTTTCATTTAAAAAACGCTTCTCTAACTCAGATGGCAGAAGAAGGGAAAAGCTTTCATTTAAAAAACCTTAAACACCATTCCGACTCTTTTCAGGGTGGGAAAGTGAGGGCAGCGATACAACGGGGACTATGGGAAATGCACTTGTGACAGCAATGCCTGGTCACTGATTGGTGTGATTGGTCACTGATACATTGATGATTAAAATGTGAAGCCGAGCACCTTAAACATAAAAATGGGACTTCAGAGGTTTAAAAAGACTCAATGAGGAATAAAAAAAAAAATCACTGTGAGTAATACTGTAACTATAACTAGTGTCCTTCAGGTTTTACCGTGATGATCAGGGATATTTGTGTTTCAGATTGCTGCAAATGATGGCTGGTCCTGAATCAGCACTTCTGTTACCTCTGCAGTACGAGTTATAATCCAGGCAGGGTAATTATCCAGGTGGTTGTTAGGCACAAAACTGACCAGGACACACCAATCTGCCAACACAGCCAACTGGTTTCTTCATGACGGATCGCTTTTTACACTGTTGCACCTGGAGGGAGGGAGGGATGGGTGCAGGAGATAAGGAGGGAAGGGGGGGTATTAAGAAAGGGACAAAAGAAGAGAAGAGTTGTGAGGAAAAAGAAAGAAAGTTCAACTGTACAGTAAAAGTATTTCTATCATGTCAACCCGACTCATCTGTAGCTGACTCTTACTGACTTCAGATGCTGTTACAAGTTATGGTGGTTTGGTACCTTTGGGGTAACATTTTTAATAAACATCAGGTCTGGTGTTTCGTAATGAGGAAACATGTCCCCCTGTGCAGCGGTGTGTTTCACTGATGTGTTGTTCCTGAACAACAACAGAGGTCTGTGGCACAGATCCACGACTGACAGACATTAAAATTGAGGAGAGGCACCTCACTGTCGGTGTTAGCCTTCCTATGGGGTCTGTGGAAAATAATGGGCCTTTTTCTTTAACAGGTCGTGTGGTCTGAACCCGGCATTACAGCAGGTCATTTTATTTAAATGGATTAAACACCTAAATTTGGATGATGACTTTTACAATAATGACATTTGTGTAGTGTCTGTTAGTGCAGGTTAATTTTCTGAAAACATGACTGTAAAGACAGATGAGGAGCTGGTGCTGTGCTCTCTGTGTGAAGCAGGCGCAGGGTGGGCCTACCTGTCTGATGAGGACCGCAGCTCACACTGTAAGACGTCCACATATTAATGACCATCAGGAACGTGGCTATGAACCCAAACACCTGCAAACAACAGAGTCCATGATCAACTGTATGACAAAAAACTCATCACATATGGATCCAAACATCACAAGAGATGCCGTAGTTTCTGCAAAGTGTCCTCCGCCACAGTGTTCAGTGGAATTAAAACCATAAAATACACCCAAATTTTCTGACTGGTGAAGAAGCAGAAGTTGGTGGGAGGAGATGTGAGGTTCTGTAGAAACGGATTCTCAGACAAAAACGTTATCAGTAAAGAACTTAATGGCATTTCCTGTGTAATCAGTGGCAGCGCAGAGGCACAGTAGGAAGTAGGAAGGACGGCATGAGCCCCAGCAGGAGGTCAGTAGTTCTGCTTCAGAGTGGAAGCTGCTCAGGGAGGGAAACCACAGACACCAGCCCGGTCGGCCATCAGTGCTCAGGGTAACAGAGAAACAGCCCCGGCTTCCAAAGACTCTTGAGGCCTGATGAGCCCGGCTGAGAGGTTTTAAAAGTGGCAGACTTGTCGAATGAGACTCTGGTGTTTACTTAAACTCGCTACCAGAAGTTGAACCAGCTGCACAAATACAGTAATTCCCAATGGTTTTCCATTAGTGGTGTGTGTGATATTGACAAAAAATGCTATCTGAATACTTTCTGGAATTTTGTCAACAATGATAAGCAGACGCTCCTGTTAATAGGATATTAATTGTTACTCTTTACTGATGAGATTAATGAAATAAACATATTTAAGAAAAACAGACCTTATACGTTTACTTAGAACTGAAGTATTAAAGTAAAACTGTACACACACACTGAAATCACTTCTGCCGGATGATTCCATAAAGTTTGCTGAACGGGTTTTGGGCCGGCACTGTGGCTGGTTTAGTCCTGTTGTTGACAGCTGACTTGCGAAACTTTTCATATTCTTCATACTCTGTGTGCGGTTAGTTTGCAGATGATGATGCAAGTTGTCTTTAATAGCAAACAATTTCTGACATAGTATTTTAGTCTGTCTTTTGAGCAGCATCTGTCTGTTGAAAGCAAGAACACCTCCGTGAGAGTGAGGATGATGGTCTGTATTTTGTCTCCCAGTCACTGCCGGTTCACTCACTTTTAACTTTGCTAATGCGTTTTTACACTAGCTTAACCTGAGTCTGTGCTCCTTGGCTTCATGAAGCAGCGAATGTGTGGCCTGTAAGGGGAGCCTCTGACTGGTTTTGTAAAATGAGTTACATAGTCGATAATGTCAGCTCACACAGCGTTTAAAGAGCAATTAAGATACTATGATAGACGACAGTCTATCCACTATGTGCTTCTGGATGCATACAGGAAGCCAGACATCTTCATTTTTACTTGACATCCAACAGCAGAAACTTCTCCTTACTTTCATGTTTCAGCTTGTTGGACGTCACCTGATCACAAGTAGATGTGACCGCTGGCTTTAGCTGGGCCCCTGTACACAGGATGCCTACCTGCTTCTCAGTGTGTGTTTATTCACAGAAGTGTTACACAATGGTAAAAAGAAAAAGTCCTGCTGCAGATCTCAGCCAACACTCACACTGACCAGAGTCAGAGGTCATATTAGGGAACTCAACAAAAGCACCACCTCCCATGTTGTCAAAGCAAGGTCACTGTGCTAAAGCAGAGCAAGTTAGATCAAGGAGGATGTGCCACTAAGGACGATTTCTGACAACTACTGAAGTGCAGGAGTTGCAAAATACTTAAGACAGTAATCAAAATAAATAAATGCACTGCTGCACCCCTCAGTGAATTGACGTTAGCAGCATACGCAATGACCCAGCAAACATATCGGGTGTCCCAGCGGCTGAATGCTTACGTACCGATCCAGCCACCAGTGCTGACACTCCGCCACTCTTCACAGCTGCGATGATGGAGGCGATGAGGATGAGGACGGAGCCCACAGCATAGTGAAAGAACTCCTGAAAGAGCAGAAACAAGATTCAGGGGACAGCTGAAGAGACGGAGTCTTTCTGACCAGCTCTGAGAAGGCGCCTACCCATCAGGCTCCCAGCAGTGTTGTAGCTGAGTCACTAAACCTCAAGTCTGAGTCTGAGTCGAGTCCCTGTTGCCCGAGTCTGAGTCTTCGAGCTCTGACACAGCTGTCACCATCTTATAGTCCATGTCTCCTAACAGTGCACTGTGTCACCATGTTGTTCAGCAATTTGATACATAAAAATCTTTTATAGAAAAGCTGAGTGTGTGTCTCAGTGGAAGTGTGCCAGATAAAGCGTGGTGCGGTTGGACAGGTTTAAAACCTGTATCTTATACCAAATTGTTATGAAAGTCCTCATCTCCAACTTCTGAGTCCAAATGCAGTTGTTGCTCGAGTCCCAGTTTAAATCCACGTCGAGTCACAGGTCCTGAAAATCTGGACTCGAGTACTACAGCAGTGGCTCCCAGCCATGGAAACAACAACTTGTTTGACTTTATATCAATGACAACATTATTGGACTTTGCTGAGATGAAATACACAGGCTGAAGAAACATTCTGTAACCTGAGAACTGGTGTGATACGATTACTCCAAACATCATTTGAGATGAATCGATAATATGGGAAGGAGGGACTCTGCACACTCCAGGCAGAATTTCATAATAAACATAATCAGAGCCTGCCCAGTGAAACCTGGGCTTCATTTTCTACTCCTCTGCACAGCCCTTTGTTTCCTCCATATGACGCATTTTATCTGTCTGCTCCTCAGCGCTGTGTCCTGAGCGTGGCAACCTCCCCAGAGGACCAGTCAACAACTAAACATTTATTAGATGCTTGAAGTGCAATGGATCCGACAGTTCAGGTCGGATCATGGGTTTAGAGTCACAGATCAGTCCAGGGTTTTAGTAAAATCTTAAAATAAAATATTCAATACTCAGTTGTCAAACCAAGCTAACCAAATGTAACTGTAATTGTTTGACTCTTTCCATGATGACAAAAGTTTATAGTTTGTTGTTACTGCTGGCATGAACACACAGCTGATTTGTCTGTATCTTTTCACTGGATCATGAGACTTATGGAATTATTACTTTAAAAAGTAACAGCAGCAGTAAAAGTACATTTCACACTATGATGGTTAAATGGCGCATTAATCCGTGGTTCACGTGTGTGTTGGACCTTGGGGGGAATGCATATGGATCACAAAGCCGCACTTCCTGATTTGTGTTCTTATCTTACAGTGGTGAATACTGCCCCAAACTCCCCCCGTTTAGATGGGGACCTGGAGAAATGGTTTCAAGGTCTCCCTTGAAAAAGAGATCATGATCTCAATGGGACTTAAAAGGTAAAATAAACAAATAAGGCACTAACTGATCCAACACAAGGAGCTGTACAGACACAGCAGCTGATGTTGTGATAGTGAACCAAAGTGTCATTGGTAAACGAGACTGAAACTGCAGTGAAGTGAAAGGAAACGGGGAGTTTGGGGCAGCGTTCACTATTGTAAGACAAGAATGCAAATCAGGAAGTGCAGCTTTAATAAATGAGAAGAGGCTCACATGTGCAGCTTCTTATTCCAGAGGCTTCCTGTTTTCAGCGCTACAGAGATCAAGGTTGGGCGCAGCCCTAGGTACGTTTCTGGTGTTAGAGTCAGAGTGTAGTGGTGAGAGGAGATCAGCACATGCACACACAGACGGGGGTGTGAGGTGTGTCCTGCTCACCGTCAGCGGCCAGTTGATGCAGGGCATCTTTGCCTGCAGCCTGAACAGGTGCATGAGGAAGAAGATGAGGATGGCGATGAGGAACCACAACGCCACCACCTCAAAGTACTGGCAGGCCGCCCAGCTGGGCCACCCGTGGGCACAGTGGACGCACAGGAAGGCGACGAGCAGGGCGAGCTGGGAAAGAGATCACAGAAAACAGACACACGGCATCATCACACACCGCACCCTGAATGTTTGTGACACACATGCAGAGTCAGACAAGCAACGTGTTGGTACATCTCCATGACTTCCTGTCTGAGGCCCTCAGCTCCACACCCGCTGGTCCCCACTGAGGACATGCGTCTTTAAAACAACTCACACTCGTCATTTTTGAAGTAAAAACACAAACAATATTCTCTGGTTCAAACTTCTTCAGTGTGAGGATTTGCTGATTTTCTGTCAGATATGAGAATTCACTGATAGATCGAGATACGATTCATCACACAAAGCGATAAATTAATAACAGCGATGGGAGGACTACTCAGGTCCTTTACTGCAGTAAATGTAGTAATACGACAGAGTAGAACTACTCTGTTACAAGCCAAAGTCCTGCATTCAAATTGTTACTTAAGTAAAAAAACAAAAGTATCAGCAGCCAAATATCCCTTGAGTCTGTAATAAAGTTTTTGAATTGAGTTGAATACTTGAACTACCAGAGTACTCATCCTGCAGAATGGCCCATTTTACATTAATGTCTCTGACACTACTGGATCCTACTGACTGATACATTACTGTGTTCATCACTTTAATGCTGCAGCTGGTAAAGGTGGAGCTGATGTTAACTACCTTATATACTTATACTGTGAAGTACTTTACATCCTGCTGGGTAGCTGGTGGATTTCCCACCGGGATCAATAGAGTCTGATGATTCTACTGGGTTTGGTTTGATTCATCTGAAACTAACAAACTTTCACAAGTGATTCCCTGATGGTTTGAACAGTAAACATCACCAGTAACACTAACGGTAGCCTCTTCATTCCCATTAACACGTTAATTTATCACTTTCCCATAAAAGGTTAAATCCCGTCTCCCTCCATTACAGCGGTTGTTGTGTTTGCAAACAACTAACTAACGTTAGCTAAACCGTCCCTGTGTGTCGACGTGAACGGCCCATTTTATCACGTTTAGACCGACTCTCACCATCTGTCCTATCTTGAGCAATCCCGGGATGGTCCGGTTGTAGCCCAGGTTCAGGACACTGTCACCGAACGTCCTCGTTGTTGTTGTCGTCGTGATGACCGTGTGCGACATGTTGAAGGTAAACAGCTCCGGTAAATAACACGGTAAACAGATGTCGGAGCAAGTTAAACAGCAGCGCAGAGATTCCGTCGACTGGTCCCGATTATTTGTCTCTAGCGGTGCACCACTGTCAACTTACACCGGGTCAACGGACATACTTCCGGTACGACACTTCAGAATAAAAGCCATTTGTTTTCAATTATCAATTTCAAGTAATTATCAGTTAATAAAACGTTCGATTATATAATTAAAACATACACAGCAAGTCTTGTTTTTCTTTTTTGTTGTTAAATTCATTTCACAAAGCTGTATGTGAAAAAAATAAACTTTTTATTTTATGTTCCAGATCATTGTTGTTGACTGCTATCTTCAACCCAAACCCATTAACCCTGCTCTACTAATTATTTCCCTCTAATTAGCCTACTTTCTCAACTTTACCGGGATTTGGTCTATTTTACAGTTTTACTAGCTTTTTTGAAGAATTTGGCCTATTTTACAGTTTTACTAGCTTTTTTGCCAAAAACTACATTAGACTTGAATTTCCCAAATTTAACATGGTTTTGTGAGGGACATAATGTAAGCACAAAGCAAAAACTTTAGGCACTTCAGATGTTTAGATTCTTCTCTACTTGGAGGCGTTTGATTGATCAGCAGCCTGACACTGAGGCCAAACCTGCAGCCAGCTAGAGGCATAAAGATTTATGTTCAGAGCCCAGAAGAACCAGGACTTTCCTTCCTCTTCTTTTTTCACAGATAATGCAAAGATACAGGGTTTCAGTGAGAGGAGAAGAAAAGCCAAACGCATGATAAAAATAAAACAATGAAAAGTTATAGCATCAGTCTGTTAGAAAGTAGAAAAAAATGTTGACTTTGCAATTAATATTGGGCCTAATAAATCATACAGAGCTGAGGTCAGTGGAACCCCAAATAATGAGTGCAAAGCCAGTGTCATGCAAACAAGTATTAAATATGTTTCAAAAAAGTAAATAAATACACTGGCCTCTGGTCCCACTGTCAGAAGACGAGATGGAGGTAAATGCTGACCACTGTCCAAATGTATTTAAAGAGCCATCAGTCATTTCACTTCATGTCTTCAGGCACAGAAACACAGCTGCACTACCTGAAACTGTCTGTTCAGTGGAGTTTCCAGGCCTTTATTTTGAAGTAAGCATCTTGTATCTGGTGCAGGTTGAGTGTGTGAGTGTGCCAGTATTGACTGGTCTGTGTGCAGTTCAGAGGTGTGGTCTGTGTCAGGAAACACTGCAGCAGCAGCTTCAGAGGAACTTGGTCAGGTTAAGGACAAACATGCTGCTGACCTGTGGTGACATCAGAGAGCTGCTGTCACATCACACCCTGAAGACAGGACAGACTGCTGCAGCACACTAACACAGAGGCAGCCTAGGGAGCCTCTTCTGGCTGGCACTTACATTTTGGATCTGGCTTCAAGCTAATAAACTGCCTGCTTAAGTACAATGTGCGACTACCAGATCTCTGGTTGACTCACCAAGCTCTATGTCTGTGTATTTTACCTGTTTGTTTCACCACAGCGATGCAAAGAAGGGGCATAAAAGGGATTTGAAAAGATTCAGATTTGACCAGATGACATTAAACCCCCATCCCAGAAACAGATTGAAACAATACACAATGTTTAAGCCACATTGTGTGGGCTTCATCAGCAGGAGGACTAGTTTAGTTGGAGATAATTTATTACATTTATTTAAAGGAGAAAGAAATGTTCTTATCTTGCACAGGTTCCACTTTGTGACACTGATATTATTTTGCCCATACAACTGAAGTTTGCCCTTAAGTTACAGTAAGTAGGTTTCAGGCCTGAAAATACATTGTATGGCCAAAGGTATGTGGATATTGAATGACACCAGTCTGTCAGAGCTGCAGCGAGGCCGCAGACTGAAACACAAACAGCAGCTTGTTTCTCTAGAAACAAACTGGAACTAACACTTTGCTGCAAACTGTGACACAGCTTTATGCAAAGTCAGAGCCTGAAAGAATCTTAATCCAAGTTGGTGGAAGTGTTTTAACTCAGCATTTTTCATGTTCGAGACTAAAGCAGTAATTAATGTATTTCTGACCTGTAAAAAGCCCCGCAGTGCACTGAGTGTTGACAACATTACACCTCTGTCCGGGACGGGAGGACTGTTGTTCTGTCTTCTCCAGAAATATCAGTTATCTGTCACTATCTAGGATGAATAGTGAAGATGTGTTGGTACCACTGATAAACAATGAGTCACTGTGCTGAGAATCTAAAAGACCTCCTGAAAACCAAAAGGTCTCACAGCTCTCATTAACAACAGAAACCCCAGCCTCATCACACTATTTCAATTCACCCTACAACAGCGGCCTTGCCCGTGCTTGACTAAACAGAAATTTCTACCACATCACAGTGTTACCAGTGGGTCAGTCCTAGCAGGTCGACCACACTCAGTTCATGCAGGTGCTTCCTTTACTGTCACATGGTGCCAATTTGTAAAACCTCATTTAAATAATAACATAAACACTTCCTTCTCTCGCCAGCTGAAGCCACAGCATGTTGCTTTTATTCCCGTCAATTGCGACACCAGCTCAGACTGAGGCACGTTGACACTGCATTAATACTGTCTCTTAGAAATTATCTTTAGAAATACATTTGAAAGGAAACAAAACTGTGACAAGCTGGTAAATTCAGATTTCCTGCAGAGAAGCAGTTAATTTGGCACTAATCACAGGTGAACAGATAATGATAAGTTAACACAACCTGGAGAGTTTGACTCAGAGGAGAGCAGTGAGCTATTGATGGAAAAAATGTCAACAACAGTTCAGCACTGATGGTGAACAGTTTCCAGTAATCACTGACTGATACATGTTCACCGGGGTTTAAATGGGGAGTGCAGTGTTCTCTTCTACTATTAGTTTGGATTATAGTTTCACCAAAATAAAAGCTCAAACTAATCTTGTAGGTTGATTTCAGCTAATGATACAACACACTCCTGAGGGGCAGAGATGCAAAGTCAGTAGCTCTATTTGATACCATGGAGGTGTAACAACACACACTTCACACTTTCAACCACATCCTGTGGCTACAAAGTGGTTATACAAACACACAGCCAGCAACTGCAGGAAGTGAAGATAAAACCTGCAGCAGCTTTTGACTCAGAAAGATCTGGACTGATTAGACTGAGCAGGGACTCTTCAGTCCACCCAACTCTGAGTGCTCATGATCTTCAAGCTCCACTGATGCAAAACGCAAGTGATTGAGTCACAGCAAAAGCCTCAGCTGCACCACAAGCAGCAGCCGCTTTCACCAAACCACAGCGGCTTTTCTGGCTTTTTTAAAGCAGTGCTTCTGGTGCATCTGAGAAATTATTCCCAGAAATGAAGCATCTCAAGAAATAATCTGATTGGCTGGGTTAAACCTTCAAAGGGTGAAGACAAGAAGGTAATTTAAAGGCAACTTGATTTATGTTTTAAGTTTAGACCTAAAATCTTTATTTCTAACAATCGCATAAAGTCAAGATTCTGTCCCGCCTGTTTCCGTTCTCGTGCTTTTAGTTGTATGTGCCTGTAAGTGCGTTTCATGTTTTCACCGTGTCTTGTATTGTTTTTGTTCTTGTCAGTGCTCTTAATAAAAAGATGGTGTTTCTTTATATATCCTCCTCTGGCTATGTAATTGAGTTCACCCACGACAACATCGGCAGCTTCACGCTCCGATCCTGACAGTATAATCTGGCCACATGAACTCAGCCAGCGAGGAAGACAGAGCCAGACGATCACTAGTCCTGCCGTACACACCAACCATAACAGCCTTACACAAAGCCTTACCCAAAACTTAGCAAGCTCTGCCACCAGCTTTACAACCTCCAACTCATGGAGACCTACCTGAGCCCAGCAGTAGCCCAGGACATTTATTAGCAGCTAAAGGCCCAGATTTCTTCTCCACTCTCCCATCCAGCACAGAGACCCTCTCTCTTTGAGGGAACCTGGTGGGCTATTTCCCTGGGGGGTCCAGGGAAAGGGAGGACCAGGAGGAGGCCGTCAACTGGGGCCGCAATTCCTGTACCTGTTTTCAAGCAGGTCAACCGGATCGCAGACGCCGCATCTGAGCCAGTTCCTGTTCCTGTACCCAGTCTCCAGTGGCAGCAGCCCTCCTCACGGCCAAGACTCCAGGCGCCGCAGCACTCCTCTCGTTCGGAACTGCAGCAGCAGCCTCCACAGCCCCAGCAGTCCAATCCTCCGCAGTCCAAGCCCCGGTAGTCCACGCCCCGGTAGTCCAAGCCTCTGCAGTTTCTCTAGAAACAAACTGGAACTAACACTTTGCTGCAAACTGTGACACAGCTTTATGCAAAGTCAGAGCCTGAAAGAATCTTAATCCAAGTTGGTGGAAGTGTTTTAACTCAGCATTTTTCATGTTCGAGACTAAAGCAGTAATTAATGTATTTCTGACCTGTAAAAAGCCCCGCAGTGCACTGAGTGTTGACAACATTACACCTCTGTCCGGGACGGGAGGACTGTTGTTCTGTCTTCTCCAGAAATATCAGTTATCTGTCACTATCTAGGATGAATAGTGAAGATGTGTTGGTACCACTGATAAACAATGAGTCACTGTGCTGAGAATCTAAAAGACCTCCTGAAAACCAAAAGGTCTCACAGCTCTCATTAACAACAGAAACCCCAGCCTCATCACACTATTTCAATTCACCCTACAACAGCGGCCTTGCCCGTGCTTGACTAAACAGAAATTTCTACCACATCACAGTGTTACCAGTGGGTCAGTCCTAGCAGGTCGACCACACTCAGTTCATGCAGGTGCTTCCTTTACTGTCACATGGTGCCAATTTGTAAAACCTCATTTAAATAATAACATAAACACTTCCTTCTCTCGCCAGCTGAAGCCACAGCATGTTGCTTTTATTCCCGTCAATTGCGACACCAGCTCAGACTGAGGCACGTTGACACTGCATTAATACTGTCTCTTAGAAATTATCTTTAGAAATACATTTGAAAGGAAACAAAACTGTGACAAGCTGGTAAATTCAGATTTCCTGCAGAGAAGCAGTTAATTTGGCACTAATCACAGGTGAACAGATAATGATAAGTTAACACAACCTGGAGAGTTTGACTCAGAGGAGAGCAGTGAGCTATTGATGGAAAAAATGTCAACAACAGTTCAGCACTGATGGTGAACAGT